GTAGAAGTTAAAACCTTAGTACTCATTCTAACTCACCTTAAGAGTAGCAAGAAATTCAAAACTATCATAACAACGGATGTACAAGAACCTTCTCATGCTGACAACGAACAATTCTTTGTCATATTCGGTGTGTGCATCCTTTGATCCACTAGGAGAATCATCCCCCTTATTTAGCTTCTGGCCTATGCCATTGCCTGATTAGACAAAATAAACCAAATACTACTTGCATCAAATGTATGAGGCCATAAACATATTTAATTACTAGTTTCTCTACTGTTATGAACATGTGTGTGTGTATTCTTCATTTGTGCAAGGGCCAGTTTAGGCGAAATGGGGCAAAGTTATTCCTTTGGAGACAATAAGTCATGGTTCAAGGCGTAGATGTAGCCTCTTTGTAGAAGTGCTGGGAGAAGGCAGCACACGGTACATGACCATTCTTCCTCCACCTCGTACTGTCAGGAAGCAATGGGTGTATAGGGTAAGCCCCTATTCTGCTTCATTTGCACCTACCCTCGCTAAGCCTCAACCTTGTCACTGGAATTACACTTTATAATTTGTACTACAGGCTATCAGAATTTGGATTTTTTTCTTTTGATAACCACGAATCCCCGAGGGCTAGTGGAAATTCAGTGGACACCATAGTTTGGAACCTTTATAATTTTAACCCTTGGACAACAGTATTTTCTATTTTTTAGTTTCTCATTTGAAAATTTAGAAAAAAATATTGGTTATTAGTGAAATGCCAACCTCTACAACAAGGGAGCATAGCTCTTAACTCTTACCAAATTTTCAGTGATATCTATGTACTTCATTTATGTTTTTTTCCTGTTGAAAAGTCAATGAAATGTCACTAGTGTGCACCAAGATGATGTCAAACTATATGGTTACAAGTGTTCAGTGTTAAACTCTAAAAATCTATCCACTATCTACAGATAAAAGGATCTTGAAAACAGAGTTGTCGATCTTCCACATGGGTCTGTCAACTCCTTCAAACTTCCTCCTGTTTCATTCTCTACACATCATCCAGTAGATGCATAATGATGCCATATTCCAAAACTTCCTTCCGTATTCTGCTCAACCTCCATGTTCTGAGAGCATCAACAACTGTTAAGGGAGTGCCCATTATATATTAAATATGGAATACACCATACCAAATAGATTCATGACAGATAAAAAAATAAGAACCTAATGTTTAGAGTCCTTTCTTCCTTTCTTGCGCTTACAATACCAACGCATTGTTATACAACCCTACTAAAAAAGAAAAATTATACGGGTAGGATTGGAATGATGGCACAACCCTACGCAAATTAGATTTGAGGAGTCATCGGAAGTCGAATGGAACTATGCAAATCAAATCTACGGAGTCACTGAAAAGACACATGATGCTATGCAACTCAATTATGAAAAGTGTTCGGAAAAATCCACGGTACTACGCAAATTAAATATGAAAAGTAGTCCGGAGAGATGCACGGTGCTACACAAATAAGATATGCAAAAAAAAGGTAGTCACTGGAAGAATGACACGGTGCTACACAAATTAAATATGAAAAAGTAGTCACCGAAAAGATGGCACGGTGCTACACAAATTAAATATGAAAAAATAGTCACCGCAAAGATAGCACGGTGCTACACAAATTAGATATAAGAAAGTAGTCACCGGAATGATGGCACGGTGCTACACAAATTGAATATGAAAAAGTAGTCACCGGAAAGATAGCTCGGTGCTACACAAATACCGACGAAAATGGGGTTGACACAAAACAGCCCTAGAAAGTCATCGAAATCGACTCACGATGACCTGACTGGCTGAGTTTTCTTCCCACAAATTATGACTAGCTTGTGTTGAGACTAGCTAGTCATAATTTAGGGTAACATACTGTTGAAAGTAGTCATAATTTGACTAGCTTGTGTTGAGACTAGCTAGTCATAATTTGAAGCTTTTTTTTATCATGATTTAGGGTAACATACTGTTGAAAGTAGTCTTGCCATGGCGCTTGCATGTTAACTCTCTTTGAGTACTGTTGTAGACACCCTTATTGAACTTATTGTGTTCTTGATTTACTTGAGGACACTCACAAATTTAAGTTGGAGGTGTTGATGAGTGGTAGATTTGCACTCATTTAAGGTCAATTTAGCTCAATAATTAGTGTCCTCAATGCCTAACTTTGTCATTTTCTAATCAAATATTGATGATTTGAAACTATGAAGACAATTGGACAAGGCATGGACTAAAACTTGAAGTAATGGCCAAAAATGCAAAAGAAGTGCAAAATGAACGTTCTTGATCGTCTAGCATGAATGGCGGATCGCCAACTGATGTAGACCCAATTTGACAGTGCATAAAACTTTTGTTTATCAAAGAAGGTCGGCGAACTCCAGTAGAAAAAGTGATACACCGAATGAGAAAGGCGGATCTGAAGCACATGCCCAAATTGACAATGTGCAAGGCAAAGATTTAATGCTCGAACAGTGAACTAAGGTGGTATTCGACGATACACCAAATGAGAAAGGTTGAATCAATCGAGTTCGCCAACTGAGGTTCAAACACATGAAGCCTAGAGCATCACAAAGGCGAGCTGGGGAACGAAGGGTGATTCACCGAGTGAGTTTGGCGAGCCCGACTAATGTCATCGATTTGGTTGCGAAGTAGATTTTTGGGACAAATTTTGGAAAAATATAAATAGCCCAAATATAGAGTTTTGAGGGAGTTTGATTAGAGAGTTGAGCTACTGAGTTCAGGAAAAAGCTTTGAGTGAGAACACTTTACTTTTTAGAACACTTTTCTAGCCTTCTTGGGTTTTACAATTTGAATCTTGAATTTGATAATTTGAAGTTAAAATTCAAAGTGGGCTTACTCTTAATTGCTTGATTTCAAGTTATCCATGGCAGATTTCATGGAAAATACTTTCTTTACTTTTTTGTGATGGGTGGCTAAAATCGCAAGATCTAGAAGTACTCTAATGGGGTTGGGTGTTAATTTAATGTAGTGGGTATTGTGCTATGCTCTATTTTGTTGTTGTTCATGCATGAATTTGGTCTAATTATCATGGGGTTAACTTAAGGGTTAAAGTTGCAAACTTAATTCCTACTTATGATATCTGGTTGATGCTCGAAAGAGTTTAATTAGAGTGGGTAATTAGTTCAATACTAGCAATTTAGGTCTGATGTCCTTGACTTGCTTGAAAGAGAGGTTATGGGTCGGATCTAATTGTCTTATTCTTGAAAGAGGGAATAGAGTAAGGTAATGTGTTGTTTATAATTGGCATTAGATAAGACCAAAAGGAAATTCTAGGCATATATGCTTTGAGATCGAAAGATGATTAGCGTCATTGAAGATGACTTAACCTATTCATGTATGCACATCACTATAGAGCAATACATTTACTCCTATATGACATTGATATCGAATCCTCACACCCCTAGATTGCTTGCTAACTCTTGATTTCGTTCAAATTTTAGTTTAATTGCGATAATTGACAACAAAGCTTTATATTAAGTTGGTGGTACCATATGTTCTTACTATTCCAAACATACTAATTTAAAGTTCAAATCTCTCGATAAAGAATTCTCCATGATATACCATTCCCTGTGGGATTCAACCCTGACTCTTCGTTGGGTTTTCACTGACTACACTCACACTAAATATAATATTCTAGAGGGACATTTTATAACATGAATAATATTTTCTTGCTTATTTGTCAAATATTAAAAAATAAGTAAGAAATTTACTTTTTTTCAGTAAAATATTTTCTTCGGTACCAAAAATACCCTAAAGTGTATAATTAGTGCAATCTCTCCAAACAGGCGCCCGTGTAACAACCATCCAAACAAGTTGAAATAGTAGAGATGACAATGGGACGAGACGAGACGAGATAGGTTTAAAGTTATATATTTTTAAAATTAATGTCAGGTGGGGCTGGTTGCGAGTTTAAGGTTCCAAATAGAATTAAATCTTTGTAATTAGTAAAAAAATCAAGGATGAAACTTTTTATATTAAACTTTGACTTTAATTTGAACTCTTTTTTTAAAATTTAAACTAGACGTGTCCAATAAATTGTTAGTTGTTGAAATGTTAATTAGAAACAATTAACTAGCGATTAAGAAACAATGGTTGAAACGTTAACTAAAATAGTTAATTAGTTATTGAGATGTTAATTAGCGAAAAATTTAAAAATGATTTTTTTTCATATTAAACTTGATTAAAAAAGAAAAAAACCTAAAAAATTATGTGGGACGGATTTATGTGAAGCGGGACGGATTGAAAATGAAAAAACTGTCATATGAGGGTGATTTACAAAAAATTGTGGGCTGAACTCAACCTGCTCCGAACCTCCCCGCTCGCCACATTAGGATTGTGCAAAAATCGAATCAACCGATAAATCAAACCGAAAAAGTGCTATTGGTTTATTGTTATTTGATTAACATTTTTAATGGTTTTATAAAAAAAAACCTATCAGGTTGTCGGTTCGGTTTTGGTTTTTAATATTGGGTTATTGGGTAGACCGACAACCCAATAAAACTATAGTAATTTACTACTTTACCCATACATAAATATTAAATATTAAATATTAATCTAAATACCTTACTAGGTAGTGCATTGTCCTTTAGCTTGCAATTTACCTTCACAGTGACTTTGAGTTTGAAACTTCACATTATAAAAAACGTCAAAACTTAAAGTAAGAATTATATTCCTCTTAATTTCTCTTTGTGTTACACTTGTAATAGTTCTTTTCATGTTAGTTATTATTGTTTTTTTATGAGTTGTGTTAAATTGTTAGAAAAGTCGTATATTTATTTTATAAACATTTTTTTATTGGTTAAACCGAACCGTTAAAAATTCAAAACTAATAAACCGAGAACCGATAAAAACATCTTATTAATTTAATTATTAATTTAACGTATTTTAAAAATAAAAATTCAATAATACATAAAACCAAATCCACACCCTACACCCCCATTGCCATCCCTATGTATTGTTTTCCCTGCCAACAAGAAACGAACTTTAAAAGCCCAAAACCGATGGGGAAATTCTAGTTGCTGCTATATTCTTCTTTCACTCCCAAACCCTCCGGACAACGCTAGTCACTGCGATTTCTTCAAAACCTATCTGCAAAAATGGCGTCAGTTGATGTTGAGAAGAGCAGGAGCGATATGGAGAGAGAGGAAGCCTGTTCGGCGAAACCAACAAAGCAAGGGGAAGGGCTGAGACAGTACTATATGCAGCACATCCATGATCTCCAGCTCCAAGTCCGCGTAAAGACTCACAATCTTAATCGCCTTGAAGCCCAGAGGAACGAACTCAATTCTAAAGGTCTGATTAACTAAATCTGGAAAACCTAACTTCTTAAGGGAACATTTTTCACGTTATAGTGAAACCCTAGTCTTAATCAGTTTCTTGGTTATGTACTACTTTTTCATGTTGTTTATGGTCCAGTATTTGAGGTAAAGTTCCCTTCTTTGATACAGAGATCTTAGTGTGAGAAGGCTCTTAAAATATTGAACTTAAGAAATTGAATTGATAATAGATTGAAGGTAAAAGGGTTCAATTTTTAGAACCGAAACTAATGCTGTGCCATCGATCACCATAAAGAATTGTTGTACCATTATGATAGTCCAACATGGAGGTGAGTAGAGAGTCCATTCCTCTTCTGTGGTGTTACTTAATGAATTTTCTTACTTAAATATGTTAGAATGCATAGAGACCCAACATTTCTTTGCCTTTTATGAGGTTAATAACCCAGCTGGCATACTCTTCAACTATTCGATTGAATACCTACCATCTTCTTCTAGCAGGTAACTCTGACCATCCAAAGCTTAGGTCGATAAAGGGAAGAGAAATAGTTACTGAGTAGAGGTTGTAATGGTTTGGTTTCCCAAACATATCATGTGTTATGGACCACAGGTTCATTATTTTTTGCCTGGTTTTCATTGGTGTAGGGATCTTGTTAACTTAATTAAAGTTTTAGTGTTTCTTGAATAAATCGATCATGGTGTTTCTCTCACATTTGTTCTACTCTTGCTGAGGAATGTACTAAAATTGTGTCTTCATGACCAATGGCATTTTCTACTTTATTTTTTCAATTGTAATTTGAATCGTGTATGGGCTCATAAAATTCTCCTTAATGTCTATTTTTGCAGTGAGAATGCTCAAAGAGGAATTACAATTGCTTCAGGAGCCTGGATCATATGTTGGTGAAGTTGTTAAAGTAATGGGGAAGTCAAAGGTTCTAGTCAAAGTAAGTGTATCCACATCTTTTTAGTTGTCATTGAATTCCTTATTAAATTTTCGTACCCATTTGTAACTAAGTTGCTGGGGTGCGGGTGTCCAATATGTGTGCGTATCTAGAGGTCAGATCCTTCATGACCTAAATTTTAAGATGCAGGGTACGGGTTTAGGTATTGATACGAGTGCGGGGATTTGACTTAAAATAGTTAAATATCTTAAATACAATTATAAAAGATGCCTAAATAATGGTGGACTATTTGAAAGGAATGTACAAATTTTTTAGAGCAAGTTTGAATTTGTAATTATACAAGTACAAATGTATGTGGTTGCGGACTTTTTAATACAAATATCTTCTAACGATAAAAAACATATGCCTAATTATGATTTCACCCTAGCTTTTGTTTTGATTTCAGAAACCAACGTATCTGTATCAAAATTCTTGATTGATTTTGGTCACAGTAGACAAATCGATTGACCATATCCGTTATGGATCCCACACCTATGTCGTATCGACACGGGTGTGGCATCGGAAGTGAAGAGTTCACACAACTTTTGTCTGTAAGAAAGCATGTCTCATTTGGTCACCAGGCTGCAATAGAATGTTGAATTGGTTGTATGCTGTAGTAGAATGTTGTACTTTCAGCTTTGTATCCTTGGTTGATAGCCTACTATGCTAACCCTCTCAGTTGAATACCTTTCGTGTTATGGAACCCATTAGACTCTTCCATTTACCAATTTTGTCTTGTCTTATTAGTTTTGCACTCTTCATTTTGGGGTATCTGGTAGTTTTGACTCCTTTGCTTACATGACAAAGTTGGTCTATGCTATCTCAAAAAAATGACAGTTTTTCTATGTGTTGCCATTTATGATGTCAATTTCATTTTACCCTCATTTAGCATGTCATGGGTTCCAACTTGTCCTTTACTATGAGAACAGTTCTGTTAGTTTTTCAGCAACAAGTGATACAATGAATTCATTTGGATTATGTTGTTTCTAAATTTACAAGATTCTCTAGTACAAATATTTGAACCATGGTATTCCCATAATATATTTCTAGTTTTTATTTAATATGCCTTTCTTCTCATCCTTTTTTTTATTACTCATCTTTGTATTATACTCTAGGTTCATCCTGAAGGCAAATATGTTGTCGATATTGGCAAAAATATTGACATTACAAAGATCACTCCATCAACTAGAGTTGCCCTGCGCAATGATAGCTATGTCCTTCATCTAATATTGCCCAGCAAAGTTGATCCATTGGTCAACCTCATGAAAGTTGAGAAAGTGCCAGATTCCACTTATGACATGATTGGTGGTCTTGACCAGCAGATCAAGGAGATTAAAGAGGTACATATCTTCTCTATTTGTTTTTTATTTCGTGTTTTCTTGATCTGTCTTGTTAACTCAATCTCTTAATTTCTTTTATAGTAATTGTATAATTTGTTTAACTTTGGATCTATTATGCATTAGGTTATTGAGCTTCCTATAAAGCATCCCGAGTTATTTGAGTCTCTTGGAATAGCTCAACCAAAGGTATATTCAGCTTTACGAAGTTCTCCTTCAGTTTATTATCAGCACCAATAAAGATCTTGATTGGATTCCTCTTTTATGAATGACAGGGAGTGCTGCTCTATGGACCTCCAGGAACTGGGAAAACATTGTTGGCTAGGGCAGTTGCACATCACACTGATTGTACCTTCATTAGGGTCTCTGGTTCCGAACTAGTGCAGAAATATATTGGAGAAGGTTCTCGAATGGTGAGAGAACTTTTTGTTATGGCCAGGTTAGTTGTTAATTTTGAGAACCCAACGGTAACATATTTCTGATCTATTACCTTAAATTAAATACTGAAGCCATTTCTTGGTCAAGGTGCTGTGCTTAGTACACTTGAATTGGCTTTCTGTAGGAGATGAAGTGTGAGAGAGTTCAGAATGGTCTAGAATCTTGATACAATATTGAAATGTGTAAAACAAACAAACAAGAAACAACAAATAAACAAAAGATAAAGGATAGAAAATCAAAACATAAGATAAAAATTAATTGGCTGCAATAGCTATAGAAAGCTAAAACCTCCAATTAATTGAACCAAATTAAGCACCTAACCTATAAGATGAACCCGGAAGATGAATGATTTCCTTTTGCAAGCAATCTATCAAGTAACATCAAGCAACAATGGCCTTATGCCCTAACTCTCTCAAGAGAATCGCTATTCAAGTGAATATTCATATCATCCAACATAATCTACCTAATAAAATGACATAATGTAGTATTTATACTAGACTAGGCTAAGACTAAAGACTTATGATTGTTATTACAAAAATATCCTTAATGAATTAATGATCTTTTTAAGTCTTCTTATTCAAGAGGCTTGCATTTGAAGAATGGCCAATTTGCATTCATAGCCTCTTTCTCCCACTCCGAGTAGTCTTTTCTGTGGAGCCTTGTACTTCTACTTTAATATGGTCTTGAGCTTCAACTTTTTATTCCAAGATTTTGATTAGACTTGGGTTGCATCATTCTCTTTTTCTTGAAAATGATTTGTTCGAACCTTGTAAAACCATTAGGAAGACAAGCAACAACAAGGACCTCATAGTATGAGGGTTAGCACAAGAGGTTAACAAATCTACCAACATGCGAAGGATGCACAAACTTGTGATATAGTCAAGCATCAACTATTCTCATGAAGGACAAGCTTCCACATGAAGCACTTAGAACTTGGCTAGTCCAAGATTGTACTGTGACAGACTCATACATATTCAAAGGGTTAGGGAGGTCGAAAGGAAAGATTATCTACCCATCTTGGTCAAGAGAACAACCAAATACTCCAGTAAGTTCCCTTCCCACTTAAGATTTGACCTTAGTACAAGTACTAGCATCATCATATGCAACTAGATAATATAAAAAGGTGTCACGCAAATAACTTCATTCAAAGTATCCTCATATGTAAGCTCACTATTAGAGTCACGAACACCATTAAGCACCATCAAGAATTGGGACACTCAAAGAAGAAGTAACAACTTGAAAGCAAGTATCACCTTCTTTCTCAACATTCCATAGTGGGTTATCATACAAGTTATAATCTTCAAGTAGAGCTACATCACCATCATTTTTAACACCAGTAGGCACTACACTAGGAGTGATCTCATCATCATGACCAACTTGATGAACACCATCACTAACTTGAGGCTCCTTAATCACTCCTCAAATAGTGGACTAACATTACAAGTAAGTTGATTAGCACAAGTGTGACATGATAATGCACTATCATTCAAAATACACTAACATTGCAAGTACAGTGCCATGATCATTCCAGTTCTCTTTCCAAAAGGAGATTCTGTCCCACCTTCCAACTTTGACCTTTGTGTTGGCATTGAGTATCAACCATAGATTCCCAATGGATCTCCAAACCCCAACTCCATATGTGGTAATTGCTTCATTTGTGCACCATTGTTCCTCATGTCCATATATATGAAAAATTACTTCCTTCCATAAAGCGTGATCTTCTTGGTTATACCTCCAAAGCCACTTCATGATCAGACTTTTATTTTGAAGCTCTTGGTTTCTCATTCCCAAACCACCACACTCCTGCTATGTTGGACTATAACCCACTTCACCAAGTTGAAGCTCTTCTCAGTTTTGTTCCCTTGCCACAAAATGCCCCTTCTTAGCTTGTCTAGAATCTTAACCACTTTCCAGGTATGGGGAAGAGAGACATTATATATGTTGGTAGGCAGTCCAATACCGAGTTAATTAATGTAACTCTCCCTCCCAATGACAAGTACTGTGATTTCCACAAAGCCAGCTTTTTCTCAGTCTTTTCAATTATCCCATCCCAAATGCGGAGTGCTTTATGCTTGGCACCCAATGGCATACCTAAATAGATTGCGGGGAGTTTCTCTATCTTGCATTTCAGGATATCTGCTAGAATCTGTATCTCCTGCACTTCATTGACCGGAAAAATGCTGCTCTTTCTCTGGTTCGCTCTCAACCCTAAGCATGCCTCAAAAATCACCAGTATTACCCTGAGGTATCTGCGCCCATCGGAGATGGTTTTTTAGTTCAGTTTCCTCTTCCATCTCGATCCACTTGCCACATCTCTCTCCTATCTTCTTCATTATCGAGCTAGACCACAGATGGAGGGGAAGCCCTAGAATGTTAATCCAGAACCAATCAAACTTGTGGCCCTTTGGGAAGGACCCTGCTGTTGGGGACCACCACTGCTAGTTTAGATGATCTCCTTGTCTTCTCCATTCGCCTATCAGAACATGTTCAACTTCCTTCCTTGATTGGAACTCAAACAAGAAAGTTAATCTGTTCATGTCATAGATTAGAACTCCCTGAGCTCCTTTCCAGGTTCGGTGCGCGCATCTTCTTACATCAGATCTGGTTGGAGCATCTCCCTTACTAGAAAAATGCCCCACTAGGCATCTGCTTAGCAAATCTGCATCAGCCAGTTGAGCTTTGGCCTTTATCACTTCCTCCCCGGCAACATCAATCATCTCTGTGGAGGCCTTTGTTTCTTTTTGCGTCCATTTGTTTTTTTTTCCCAGCATTTTCTTGTATCTGCCTTTCTCTCTGTTTGTAGCATGAGCTACCTCCCTTGTGTATGTAAACACCTTTGTGGTGGTTGGGTCTTTATTAGTGAAAGAATTTATTTTGTCTGCTAAAAGCTCCCACCCCTCATTGAATGCATTTTCTGGTAGTTTAATAACTCCCTTCTCCCTTCCTTTACCAGTTATTAACGATACAAATCTGTCGTACATATTGGACTTCAAAGACAGGGAAATATTAGTGACAGTCTCTACATTTCCAGGTTTTATGTGTTTCCTTGGATTCTTAATGCTTTGCTAAGTCTTCTACAGATTCATATGAGAGCCCCCTTGCTCAGAATCATTCTCCTCATTTGGTATCCACTCTCTACCCAGTCATACCATGCTTCTACTTTTGATCTCGACTCGGTGATGTCGTATGACTTCCCCCTTGATCAGAAATAAATTTTGTTGTCCATACTGTCCGTGAGGATCAGAATGTCTAAAAAAAACATAAAAGAAATGGAGAAAAGAGATTTCCGGTGGAGCAGTTTCACCGGAATGAGATTCCCAAAGTCCAGAAGGGATTTCAGGAAAGTGCCTGAGAGCATTTTTAAAGTTGAGTAAATTTATAAGTGCATGAGGAAAGTGCCTCTATTTCTTGGTCATATTGCTTGCTTACTAAGAATTAGTAAATTTTGCTACAAAAATCTTACTGAATTAAAATGCAAAGCAACTCCGTAAATACGTGTTGTTGAAAGTGGGTGGTGATACCTTCATATATTTGCTTAATATCATTTGAATGTATCCGGTTTATTACTTATTTTAGGGAAAGAGTACATGATCAGACACATGGTAGAGCATAAATATGTTTCACTTCTTTATTTAAGATTAATTTATGTTGATTTTTTTAAAAAAATGATTGACTACATTTTTTTCTAACAATTGTTTTTATTAATATAAATTATATATGTTGTCCAGGTAGTTCTATTTTGTTTTTATCAAACTTAAATATTTATTTATATCTTCAAATATCTTAAATTTATCAAATAATAATTTATTATGTCTAGATTGAAGGTTTTTCTAATATTTTCTTAATGTAAAACTTACTTACTATTTTATTTGAATTATAATATTTATTGTTTATATATATAGATGTTTAAAAACAGTCTTAAATCATTCAGTGTCCAAACCTAAACACAAGATCTTAACTCAACTCAAATGTGCATTCGGGTTTGGACATCTTAATCTTTAATGAATACAAATGGGGCCTAAGGCTAAAGACTAATGATAGTTATTACAAAAATACCCTTAATGAATCAAGGGGTCGATTGGTACAAACATAGATAACGCAGGGATTAGTAAATGCACGAATGCTAATTCAGGGATTATTTTTTATCAAGTGTTTGGTTCATTGTTTCCCAATTAATCTTGTGTTTGATTTAGAACTCTACAAAAAAAATTCTTTCCTATTATACTGTTGTCTTATTATGAGATTGTTTTTTTGATGTAATTCGATCAAGGTAGATAACCGCCGGACAATATTATTATTTTTTGTAGGATTTCTATTTCATTTAAAATACATACATGTATATATAATTGTTATTAATTTTGAGATGTGATGTACCACTACGGAGATCCTTGATGGCACAGTGTATTTCTATTTTTTTTGTTGGTCAATATATCTTAAACTTAACATAGATTTAAGGCTACTTAAGTTGTTCAATACCTAAAGCTTATTAAAAAAACAAATAGTTCAAGTGGTTAATCGACAAACTACATTGAATAATAAAAATTTAAAAACAAATGGAGAAAGAAAATATCAGTGAAATCATCAAATTGCACTAAACGGATTTGGAGAATTACAAAGAACATTTATAACCATTCCAATACAAATAAAAAGGAAATCAAATTACAAAAGAAATTTAGGAAAGTGAATAAGGGGATAATTAAGTCATTTAGTAGAGGTCTTATCCCAGGATTGTTTAACCTTGGATTAGTTATCCCTCCAATTCCTAGTCTTAAAATAAGACCATATATGGTCTATAACTAATCCATGGATTGTTAAATAAAGTAACCAAACAATGTATTATATGGACTAAATTTTAATCTATGGACTATTCTAATTAATACCGCCTACTAAACGGGTCCTAAGAGTCTTCTTATTCAAGAGGCTTGCATTTCAAGAATAGCCACTTTGCGTTCTTAACCTCTTTCTCCCTACTCCGAGTAGTCTTCCACTTTTCATTCTTAACCTCTTTCTCCCTACTCCGAGTAGTCTTCCACGTTGAGCCTTGTACTTCTATTTTGGTATGTTCTTGAGCTTCGACTCTTCATTCCAAGATTTTGAATGAAACTCGGCTTGCATCAATAATTCTAGATAAAGTTCCTGCTTCCTGGAGATGCTTGACATATTATTGGGATATTAAGATCTTATGATTTACGCAGGTAAGCCACCAACGCCCCAACTGGACGAAGTATGACTTCTAAGTTCTAAATACTAATATTCTCTTAATTATAATATTATGAGGTAATTTTTTCCCTCTATGAATTAGAATTTGTGGAGTCAAATCTTTTGTAACATTGTTGCCTACAATTTTGGACTCTGCGTTGATATCGATCATCCCAAGCTATCCACATATTTCTAGCCTACCAGTCATGTTTCTTTTTGGTTTATCGGAAACAGCCTACGTACCCCACAAAGGCAGGGTTAAGGTTTGCGTACGCGGTACATCCTATCCTCTCCAGTCTCCAGAACCCACTTGTGAAATTATACTAGGTATGAACGTTGTTGTAGTCACATTTCTTTCTGGTTTAACTATCTAGTATCTGAAAGCGCTGTCTGTTGACCCGACTAATCCAGATTGGCGTCATGTAGGACTGATGTAAAGGGAGAAGTTCCGTACCACGGCTTTCTCCCTGATTTATTTTGAGACCTTTGGGTTATAAGAGGGAAGGGATCCTATTGTGGTGGTTACCAGTCATTTTGGAGATCAATTAACCTGATTTAACGAGTATTGCAAGAAAATAGGATTCATATTGATCTCCAAATGCATGCTATTGGGATGGGATGGCTCCAACTAGCTCTCTGATTTTAGACTCTTTTTTTGACAACCTTAACCTAATTTAAGACTGAATATATTAGAAATAATGGTTCTATTAAGGGCACAAGGTGTGTGTGTGAGGGGGAATCTTGTTCCTTTCTGCAAATGTTTCCCCTCCCCTTTTGTTATATGGTCTATGGATCAACCTGTTTCAATTTTTTCTTTGGTGCTAATCCCTGGCATTGTTTTAACTTCAGGGAACATGCTCCTTCTATCATTTTTATGGATGAGATAGACAGCATTGGATCTGCTAGGATGGAATA